TAGACAGGGCCAGGGCTGCTCTCCACAGCCCTGTTGTGACACTAAACAAAGACGAGCCGCTCTGCAGAAATGCACGCGGGTGCTTGAGCCAAGCGCCAAGACCGAGGAAACGTCTAGAAAAACTTGTACAATATTGAGGACGTTTTGTCATTTTTCTTTAATATTTGATAGTTTTCCTTCAAGGAATGGAAGCTGAAAACAGGAGGAAAAAGGCTAGAGACACGGCTAAGTCTGCAGAGCACTTGCCTAGTGATAGCACAAGGCTGAGTGTCCAAACTCCCAGTCCTGCCCATAAAAGCAGAGGGAGGAACATGTTTCTGTGCCGGCACTGGGCTTCGAACTCAGGCTCTTGTGTGTCACTTGGCTTTTTTGCTCAAGGCTGGCACTATGTCAGTTGAGCCACAGTTCCACTTCTGTCATTGGAGATAGAGAGTCTCACAGACCTTTCTGCCCTGGCTAGTGTCAAACGGTAATGCTCCGATCTCAGCCTCCTGAGTCACTAGGACTACAGCCATGGACATGGTGCCCAGCTCCTGCATGGTGCTCACACCGAAAGCTCAGCTGCCGTAATGCCGCTGGCTCCTCGGTCCTCAACGCTGGGGCTGAGACTCCAGGCCAAGCCTCTGTTTTCTTCCCCCTCCCCATTTTCTCCTCCCCTCCTTCCCCTCCCTTCCCTTCCTCCCTCTGTCTTCTCACTCTCTGCTTGGTTTTGCAGGAGGCCCTTCCAGCACCCACGGGCAGCACCGGGCCTGGGGCTCCATACGTGCCCGGAAGCACCATCAACCTGCAGGACCTTCAGTGACCACAGCCGCTGACTGACCAGCCCGAGACCACCTTCCTCATCCCTGCTCAGAACTCCAGCCTAACTCGTTTATCAAAACCCTTTCCTTCCATTTCATCAGCCAAGTCTGCAGTTTTCTTGGAAATCGCCTTTAAGGCGGGGGGCGGCCCCAGCATCGGCATTAGCGCCCGCCTGGGCCTCTTGGATCTAGTAGCACTTGCGTTAATTAGTAGAGCTCTGGCTCCCTGCTCATGTACTACTCCTAGTCCCCCAGTCTTCCAGTTCCTGGGTCACAGCGTTGTGCCTGTGTTCTACAAGTTCCGTCTCCTTTTCTGAGAGTGTGGGCAGCCTGGATGGTGTCTGTGTTGGTTTTGCCATAGGCTATAGTAAAGCCAGTTCTGGCACATGTTCTAGCTGGGCAGCCTGGGGGAAAATGAGTGGGGTCCCGGTGCCCGTCGGCCAGGGGCCTTCTTCCTAGACCGGAAGGCAGCTCCCAGTTTGGGATGGGAGGAGTTAAAACTTGTCATTTTCCTAAATGCCGTGTTTGGAGGTTGTTAGTCATTTGGCAGTGTTTATAAAGTGGTGTTCTGATTTCTCTAAATTATGTGTAGGACTGTCTTGAGTGCTTTTTGTAGTTGAGGTTGAAGATGTGCATAGACTATGTCCGTGTGTCTTTTTAGAGTAACGTCCTCTCTTGAGGAGGGAGACGAGTTGGTATTTATTTGGAACTGGACTGGACACAGGGTAGCTCAGAAGGCCTCTTCGCCTCGTGCCTTTTGGTGTGTGTGTTCGGATGCTGTTTTGGTCCTCAGACCTGGAATCCTTCCTACTCTGCCTGTTTCTGTGTCTCCTCCCTCCTCCCCGAGGTTCCATGGCCGCCACCCAGCAACTTCACGTGTCATTAGGAAGAGGCCTTTCCACAGGTCTCTGCTGTGGCTGGGCCGGTTCCCCTGCTGGGGCCTGCTCCCTCGTGGGGAGTCACTACCAGTCACCTGCTCCAGGACCCCATCTCACCGCAAGCCCCTCCTCCCACAGCTCCCCACCCCCCCGTGTCCCCCACCACGTGGCCAGGCGCTCGCTGCAGCTCCTAGTGCAAACCAATAAAAGTGTTTTGTATTGGCTTCACGTCAGGGCCTGTGTGTGGCTCGAGACGCCCTGCTTGCCCTAGCTCCTGTCTTGCGGATGGAAGGGGCCACTGCAGGTGAGAGCCAGGCCGCGCGCTTCCCTCACGCCTGACGCCCAGGCGCAGGGGCAGCACTGCCGCCTTGACCGGGCCACACGACTCCACTGAGAAGAGTTTATTTCACGTGAGTGTGGACGCGCCCTAGGAACCCTGAGTATGGAGTCGGGGTCCTCAGAGCCTTCCTGGCCTCTCCATCCACAGCCGCCACCCGAGCCTTCGCCACACCAGCGCGGCCCGTGGGACTAAGTGAAGAAGAACAGCAGCTCCTCCTTGTCCTTGTCCACCTCCACGTGCTCCGACTCCTCCTGCACCTTCTCCACCGGGGGTTGGGAGCGGCACACCAGCTTCCGGCCTCTCTGCAGAGGAAGTGGGTGGCGTGGCGGGCCAGGCTCCTGCCCGCGGCTGCACACGGCAGGCAGACGCTCGCACACGCCCCGTCCTCAGGTGTGGGGAGTGGGCCCGAGCCCCGGACAGCGCGCCGCGGGCCGCCTGGCAGGCAGGCACCAAGGCCGCCCCAGGGAGCACGCTCTGAGGAGACCTGTGCATGCCAGGCTCACGGTGGTGCCAGGCTAGCTGTGGGCCTGTTCCTGCAGCTGGGCAGAGCCACAGTATGCCTGCCCTGGTGCGCTTTGCAGAAAGCCATGCCCGCCTCCTGCCCGCCCCAGGGACCAAGCCTGCCGTAGCCAAAGCCAAAAGTAAGATGGCTACCTCCACCTGTCCCCAGGGAAGGCCTTGGGACCCGAAAGGGGTTCGGCAGTGAGCGTGGCTGGGGGTGTGGCTGGAGCATGAAGGGACAGTGGAACCCCAGGCTCTGCGCTCTTGGTGCCAGCTCTGCGCACTGTGCTGCCCGCCCGTGGTGGAGAGGCCTGGGCAAGTGGAGATGAGTCCTGGGGGAGGAGGCAGCGCCAGGGGACAGCAGGTCGGGGCACAGAGCACGCTGGGACCAGCCTCCTGCCTCCGGGATGCTGTCTGCAGGGCGGTCCTGAGCACTCAGATGGGGGAACCCCGAGACCCGTGCGCACCTTCTTCTTGATCTGAGCCTGCGCCCGTGCCCGCGCCCGCTTCATCCGCTCCTCTTGCAGAAGCATCTGCATTCTGGCCTTCTCTTCCCGCAGCCTGGGTATAAGAGGCAGCTGGCAGGGCTGGGGCCGAGCGGCAACCGCGCCCCACCTCCACTGGGCCAGTCTGGCCGTGCCCTCCCACACTGGCAAAAGCTCCTTCCAGCCAGGACCACAGCCCACAGCTGAGCAACGATCCAAGGAGGGAAGGCAGGCCTGGCCTGGGGGCCTGTGGAATTCACAGCGACCCCACATGAATCATGAGCTCCTGGTCCATGAACCATCCATGATGGCGGGCCCTATTTCCTTCCTGTAGCAGCTTCTACTCACCAAAACCTTGTGCCTGCTGTGAGCAGGGGGCTCTGTGAGCAGGGGGCATGGCACGTGCAGTGGGTGAGAATAAGGCAGCAGCGCACAAGCCGGAAGACCAGGGCCCTCCCCTACCTGGTCCAGGTAAGCCTGCCCACACCCACGCAGGGCAGCAAGCTGGTGCCTGCCTGCCCCTCCTCCCACTAACTCTCCCTTCTCAGACCCCACCCTGCCTTTACCCCTGTTCCCCACCCCAGTCTGCCGCCACCCTGGCCAGCTCCAGCACAGCTGGCCTGTGTGAAGGCCGGGGCCCAGGCGGGCGGGCCTGCCCGCACCTCTGACGCCGCTCCCTCTCCTTGGCCTTTCCAGCCTGCTCGATCTTGGCTTGTGGCACGCGCTCCAGGTTCTCCAGCAGGTCGTCTAGCAGGTGTTCTACCACAGTGAGCATCTGCACCGTGCTCAGGCTGGTCTCCTGCTGCGGGCCCACGCAATTCTTGTACACGTTCTGCACCTTCTGGTTCAGGCTCTCCAGCAGCTTGTCCTGCAGGGAGGCAGGGAGCCGCAGGCCTGAGCCCCTCCCTGTACAGCCCACCAGCACCAGGGAGTCTCTAGGATGGAGCAGCCATGCTGGTGCTCAGTGCCATGAGTATCAGTATTCATAGAAACACAGACGCCAGGCTCGCCTCCTGCCCCAGCCCCTTCCCAGCTGCTTTGGTGAGCAGGGAGGCCTAGTCCCCTGCCCCAGGGGCCCCGCACTGGCATGGCTCCCTGCAGGACCAGATCCTGTGTGGCCTCCCCTCCCTAGGCCTGTTCTGACCTTTGCAAAACAGTGGACAGCTGCTACCATATGTGTGCTTGTATGTGAGCCACAGGGCCAGCCTGCCCGCTACTCCCACCTTCCCCGCCCTGCCTCAGAGCCGGGCACACAGAATGCTCCTGGCAATACTGAGATGAATCTAGAGTTGAGTGCATTTGAGCTGGGCACCAGTGGCACAATGCCTGTAATCCTAACTACTCAGGAGGCTGAGATTTGAGGATCACAGTTCAAAGCCAGCCCAGCTTGAGCAGGAAAGTCCATGAGACTCTCATCTGCAATTAACCACCAGAAAACCAGAAGTGAAGCTAAGGCCCAAAGTGGTAGAGCGCTAGCCTTGAGCAAAAAAGGGCAGTGCCCAGGTCCTAAGTTAAAGCTCTCCAAGCTACAAGTGGTTCAAGTGGTAGAAGTGCTAGCCTTGAGCACAGAGAGGCCCAGAGACAAAGCCCAGACCCCGAGTTCAAGCCCCAGGACTGGCCAAAAAAAAGGCAAAAAAAGAGCTAAAGGCATGGCTCAAATGATAGATGATTACCTGGCAAACAAGGACCTAGAAAAATAAATGGCAAGAATAAAAAACCAAGCTTCGTGTTGGGGACTGGGAATGTGGCTCAGTGGTAGAGTGCTTGCCTAGCATGCATGAAACCCTATGGAAGCCCTATCTTCTATTCCTCAGTACCACATACACAGAAAAAGCCAGAAGTGACACTGTGGCTCAAGAGGTAGAGAGCTAGCCTTGAGCAAAAGAAGCTCAGGCACAGTGCCCAGGCCCTGAGTTCAAGCCCCAGGACTGGCAAAAAAGAAAAAAGTGAAAAGAAACAAAACCTCCATGACTCACAAAAGAGTTGAGTGGATTTAAATGAATCAGGCGCTAGGCATGCTGTCAGGCTGGGAATGTTCTGGACCCCTGGCCGGTCCTGCTGCCCAGTTACTGGTCCCCCAGAATTCTCTCATCCCTCAACCTGGCCTGAGGACAGACCTCTCCGGTGCCTTGGGGCCATCTTGCTGGACCCAGGGTGTAGGAGGAAGAGCAATGGGGTGGGAAGGACAGGGGAAAAGGAAGGCAGCGTGGACATGGGCTGTTGCTTCCTGGCCCAGGAGGCGGCACTGGGACCTGCCTACCTGCTGGTCAGCCTTATACTCCCCAAAGTGGAAGACGCGGGCTTTGAACTGCAGCTCAGCAGCCATCTCTTCCTCCTTGTCAATGGACTTCATCATTGTGGTGATCCAATGCTTTAGCTGCTTCACTTCCCTGTCCCTGGGGGGGGGGGGCGACGGGGGAGCAGAGTGCAGGTCACCTAGAGGCCCACACGACCCTCCCCATCCGATCACCATCCAGACTTGCCACACGACCCTCCCCATCCGATCACCATCCAGACTTGGACCTGAGGGCTACAGTACCAGCTCCACAGTGTCCGCCTGCCTGCTGGGGAGACGGCTCCTCTGCTGCCCACCGCTACCTCGGCCTCTTCTCCCGTGACTCTCCCCTCTACCTAGCGTCTATAGATGCCGGCAGGGGAAATGGTGGGGGGGCCTGTGTGCTGTGTCTGGCTGTTGATGGAAGCTTGACAAAGATGGGGCCTTGCCTAATCCTTACGGGCCTTTGGCCCGGACTAAGAAGAGTGCACCAGTGTTTAGGAAGCAGGGCAATTCTCTGGACCAGCCCACACCAGCCTGAGGAGCCCCTTGGAGTGACTGGGAGGGGATGGTAATCTTGAGAGCCCGGCCTCGCAGGCGCTCCTGGTGCTGGGGCCCCTGCTGTCCAGCGTGCTTCTGCCCAGCAGGCTGGGGTGGCTCTCCTGGCAGCCAGGCCAAGGGCAGCGGACACTTCTTCCAGGCCAGCCTGCCATGAGCCATGGACAAGGTCTGTGGCCTCCAACCCGCCCCGGGACCCCAGCGCTCCCCGGAGTCCACTGCAGAGGCCGGGGAGGACTGACCAGAAATGCGGCCTCCTGGCAGCAGGCGGCTCCAGAGTGGGGTCAGCACCAAGGCCCCGCTCCCGGCCCACTCGAGGGGACGCACGGAGCTCACGGCCAGGACCCCATCTGGAGGCCCTGGGAGCAGGTGGCAGGCCCTGCTGGGGGGACACGCCCAGCGTGCGACCTACATGCGGTTCTGTGTGGATTTCAGGGTGCGCGTCAGATCTTCCAGGGTCTCCTCCATCTCCTGTGTGTTCTGGATCAGGGACAGGTTCTGCTCCTCCAGCTCGGCGAAGATGTCCAGGAGCTGCTGCGGGTCTGTGAAGTACAGCTCCAAGTCCTGCGGGAGGGGCGGGGCCTGCCTGGGTGGGCGGGCTTACCTGGGCAAGGCGGGACCTAGCTGGGTGGGCCCTTGTGGGCGTGGCTCGTCGGGTGGGCGGGGCTTTGAGGGGCGGGGCTCGTCTGGTGGGCGGGAGGCTGGCATGGCGGGAGGCTGGAGAGGGGAGGTGGGAGGGATTTGCTGGGTCTGGGTTGGTGGCGGAGCTGGCAGGGGGTGTAGCCCGGGGGCTGGGGCTGGGCCAACAGGGCGTTGTTGGGGGGAAGACAGGGCCCCTGGGCCGGGGGCCGGGTCGTGGCGGAGGGAGCAGGACGTCCCAGCCACAGACCTCCGCGTCACTGTCCGCGTCTTCTTGAATCGGTAGCGGTAGCACAGAGCTGGACCTGCGGAGGGACGGCGGGGGGCGCCCGCGCGGTCCGAGGACTCACTCCAGCTAGAAGACAGCTTCTCCACCCCACTCCCTTGCGCCGCCCCTCCCCCGGCCC